GTCACCATGCCTGAGTGTTTCCAATGTGGCCTTGAACTCACAGAGATCCAGAGGGATTTCTGCCTCTGGAATGCTAGGATTAAAGGTGTGTGCTACCACTGCCTATCCTCTATGTTTAATACTGTGGCTAATCTGCTTCTCTGATCTTCAGAATTTACCCCAATACCTGGTTTCAGCTTGGCTTTTTATTAATAGGCTATTTTAAGATTCTTGCTACACCATCCTGTTAACAAGTGTTTCTCCTGGTGCTGGTCAAAGCATGTATATCTTCCTAGGAGAAGCAAAGGTATGCATGCATGCATGTGTGTGCACCTGGACACATGTACAGTCTCAGGTACAAGAAATTAAGAACCATTCAACAAATATTTATTTAAATGTAAAGATTAGAGGACTAGGGTGTAACTCTGTAGGCAGAGCTTACTTAGTTTTCACAAAGCTCTGTATTTGATCCCCAGGACTTCGTTCAATGATGATACACGCAGGAAGATGAGAAGCTCAAAGTCATCCTTGGTTATGTACTGAGTTTGAAGCTAGCCTGGGCTATGTGAGACACACTCACAAAAAATAAAAAAATATACTCAGGAAAGAAAATGTAATAGTAAATAGTGGTCATTGGACTGGAGGGCATGGACTGCTCTTGGATGTTTTGTGGATGGTGCTTTTTGTTTAAACTCTTTCTCTGGGAAATAACAGGGTCACTGCCTGTCTTAGGGTTTCTATTGCTTCAACAAAACACCATGACCAAAGAGCAAGTTGGAGAGGCAAGGGGTTATTTGCCTTGTACTTCTATATCACTGTCTTTTACAGAAGGAAGTCAGGACAGGAACTCAAGCTGGGCAGGATCCTGGAGGCAGGAGCTGATGCAGAGGCCATGGAGAGGTGCTGCTTACTGGCTTGGGGCACATGGCTTTCTCAGCCTGCTTTCTTATAGAACCCAGGACCCCAGCCCAATGATAGCACCACCCACCATGGGCTGGACCCTCCCCCATTGATCACTAATTGAGAAATGCCTTACAGCTGGATCTTACAGAGGCATTTTCACAATTGAGGCTCCCTTCTCTTTCATGACTCTAGCTTGTGTCAAATTGATGTACTACTAGCCAGTACACTGCCCCTAAACTTCTGCAAGTGTGCCCCACAACTCACTGCCAGACCCAAACAGAGAATCTTAGCTTGTTGTTTTGTGTCAGGTTAGTTTGATTGATCTCTTCTTGGTTAAAATTTGGTAGTTTGGGTGAATCCAGAAATTCATCCATTTCTTTTAGATTTTCCAGCTTAATGGGGTATAGATTTTTAAAGTAGTCCCTTACAATATTCTGAATTTCTTTGCTGTCTGTTGTGATGTTTCTTTATTCATTTGTGATTCTGTCACTTTGGATCCTCCCTCTCTTCCGTTTGGTTAGTAGGGCCCAGGGCCTGTCAATCTTGTTTACCCTCTCAAAGACCCAGCTCTCCACATGACCAGCTGTTGATCTTTTCCAAACAGGCACAGTAGGAGTCCTGATTATGAGAGCTGACTGACTCAGAAGAGAGCACTGGGTAGCACCTCCTTATTAAAAGAAAGTCAAGTCCACACTACATGGATAGATTAATATAACAAATTAAGATTAGCTCACATATCCTTTTATTTACTAAGTTTTCTGTGATTCATGTATAAAGCAACACTCTTTGCTTGGACTTTATATCCATTTTCTAACTTGACTGAAAAGAAATGTTCACATTTTAGTAAGCGTCTTAGCGTATTATCAAAAATGACCTGGATGTGAGGGAATACTCTGTGTATACAAAACACAGAAAAGAAGGCACACATATACTGACATGTTCGCTGTTGTTACAGTTTTAGATCATAGAAGACATTTATTCCCCTTGTTTTAACTAGAAAAGAGGAACTTCTAGCCCCACTGTAGAAAAGTCATTTTCTCCTCCTCCAATCCTATCCTTAAATCAGAAGTTCCTGTTATTAAAAAAAAGAACCTCTGGCTCTCCATCCACTTCAAAATTTAGGAGTGATAAGTCTTATATATTACTGTGTATATGCTTATAAGTGTCCAATTTTTTATACTGGTGACATTTATTAACCATCTTATGATTTTTATATTAGACACAGGGTTCTTTATTTTCTCCATAAAAAGACTGTAAGTTTGAAAGTGTTAGCTCCTGTGGGTATTGTTGGAGGCACATGGCTGGGAAAACTCCTATAGAAAGCTGTAAATATATCCTGCAAAACAATGTGCCAATCCAAAAACTGCACCATGGAGTTTGGGTATACCCTCCTTAAGATACATAGAAAGTGGGTGGTGGTGACACACACCTTTACTTCCAGCACTCCGGACGCAGAGCCAGGCAGATCTGAATGAGTTTATTGCCAGCCTTGCCTACAGAGCAAGTTCCAGGAGGGTCAGGATTGTTACCCAGAAAGTTCATGTCTTGAACTGCCCTTCTCCCACAATGAAATGACACAAGTGTCGATTTTTATCATGTGGTAATAGAGCCCATGTGGGAGTCTCTTCTGAGTCTCCCAATTCCACGATCCCATTAGGAATACAGAAGATGAAATTAAAATGGAAAAGTTGGAAGAGGACTGGGATGTGTACCTGACTGCCTGTGGCACAGGAAGTCCTAGGAGTACAGTGATCCTGTGAGGGCTCTCAACACTGGTAAATATTTCAATAATGTCACTAATGGCCAGTCACATGGCCATCTCTATCTTGATGAAGTCACCAGCCAAGATGGCAACAAAGTCACTTGGTTTCTTTCTGTGTGGTGAGGTCAGCTCATGATAAATGAACCCAGACCTCAGCAGGGCATGAGTCCATGGGGAATATAGAAATGTGGGCGGCCACTGCTTTATTTCTCAAACAATGGATCTCAAGCATGGATATAACAGAAGAAAGTACCCAAAGAGTACTGGTATGTGGGCCCCAAAGAGCAAAGTAAAGACACAGAGGAGGGACGGCCATGATCTTGATCCACGACAGGGAGTCCATATGTGTCAGAACAGAGGTAACTATGAATGCAAAGTGGTCACATTTGGATCTTCCTTTGATCTCACTGAGCTCCTAGGTAGAAGCTAGGATCCACAAGGCCCTCTGTAGGACTTTACTTAGCAGTCACTGATCTGTGTTTGTGTACACTCCCTGCCTGTCCCTCTATGCCTGTGTATGTGAATGTTGGTGATGGTAGTGGCAGTGAGGGTAGTGCTGGTGGTACTGGTGGTAGTTGGTGGTTTGCTGGCATGTATGTCTGTACATTGTGTATATGTCTGGTGCCCCCAGGGAAGAGAAAATGGTATCAGATTTCCTGACACCAGAGTTACAAAAGGTTTTTAGCTGTGTGGTTGATGGGGATCCAAATCCTCTGGAAGAGCAGCCAAGTGATTATATCCACTGAAGCACCTCTCCAGCTCCTATTCCTGGCATCTCTTGAGTATGCTCAAATGTATGAAGTCAGGTAGGGACAGGCTTAGAATCTTCCAGGTCAACTAGTTTCTTTCCTGATGCACCCTTTTCAGTCACTACTCTCCTGTCATAGCAGTGGGGCAAAGGTGTACAGGGAGACAGATGCAATTAGAACAGAGGGACCCACAGAGCTAAGTGTTGACAAGAGCAGGAAGTATGAGCAAGAGAGGAATCTGGAGTATGTGATAGGACACTGGACATTCCCCAGTAGGAGAAGGAGCTAGTTTTTGGGAGCTAAGGAGACAGTAGTGTGTGGGAGGAAGACCTGAGAACAGAGTGGGCAAATGTCGAGGAGTGCTTCATGTGCTTGCTGAAGGTTTGGCCACTTAGCTTTATGGGACTAGAGAACAAGTCACAGCTGAGAGGTGAAATGGAATCTCAAATGGAGACACTTGGGAGATTGTATCTCTCCACCATGGAACTGCAGCTGTGACCAACAAAGAGAGTTCCAGTTTGTAGGACCTTGGATTTCATGGCCTGCAAAAATGTGTACAGCAAAAACTTCATGTCAGGAAATAGGTACAGAGTGGCTACCACTGGACTCCTAGAACTGTACACAAGACAATCTACATTGTCATCCTTCTGAGGGCAGAAATCTCATACCAGGAACCTACACATATAGTCTCCTAACTGTCAGAGGGCTTTTCCCAGTGAAGTCATCCCCTACCACAGCCCATTTTTCTCTGCCACAGCCAGGTTTATGATCACTGCTTAGTCGGCTTCCCGGTTACAGTGAATTTCATAAAATGCTCTTGCCCTGTGGTCTAAAGGGGCAATCCACAGGCTAGCCAATCCATTATCTGCCTTTCTCTCTGCTGACTCTGAAGTCTGGGGCTTCAGGGTTGTATCTTAGGGGACCCTCTGCACCCTCACCCCCACCCCGCATCAATGAGGGGCAGGCAAATGGGAATACATGAGCAGCAGCTAATGGGACAGGTTCCATCGATTTTTTTTTTATTTCAGAAGCCCGTTGCTGCTGCTGGTGGAGATGGGAAGACTGAAGTTAGAGATTTGTGTTGCTGGACATTGTTTTCCAGGAAATAATGTGAAGCTCCATCCACCTGAAAGGTATGATCGTACAGTCAGTCTCAAGAAACAGAGACAGAAACACAGAGACAGACTGACAGACAGACAGAACATGGGTGCATCTCAGAGGACAACTTGCAGGAGGGGTTTCTCTTTTCACCTCAGGTTTTGGGGACTGAACTCAGGTGTCAGATTTATAAAAAGGACTTTATACACTAAACCATCTCATCTGCCCTAATCCTGGTGTGTGTGTGTGTGTGTGTGTGTGTGTGTGTGTGTGTGTGTGTGTGTGTGTG